AAAAAACAAACTTTCAGATGTAAGAGTCTGATCTACAGCATGTGAAAGCCAGTGGGAGTTCCCACAGTGCCTTCATGCTTCCCACATTCAGGATTAATCCATTAACCTTCACAACACCTTGTAACATAGACAGTGTTCTTATACTTACCCTAAAGATGAAGGAAATAAGCAAAGTCTATTATTGAAAGCCACAGGGCATCTTCTAGTTAAGAGCACAGCGCCCTGATCTGTGACCAAGAACTGTTAGAAAAAGCACCAACTTGGGATGTGTAAGTGGTTCTTCCTTTTTTTTTATTTGATAATTTATTTGGCATTGTACTGTATTTGCTTAAACAGAGCCGAATTCCAGCATAGTCACTCGTGTCATGGAGCATGTTAACCCACAAGTGAGCTCAAAGACTGCAGTGGGATTATTCATTGGAAAGGTATTTTAGGAAGTAAAGATATAAGATCTGCCCACTGGGTGAGGAGTCTTAGAGAAATCCCAAGGCAGCTTGAGGGATAAAGTACTGCTGAATTAGCTCTGAGTATATCTGCATGCTACAGCAATCTTGTAAAGGAGAGGCACAAAGTTGCACTTTCCTAACTTGCTAGGACCCCTCTCATGCAGACGTACATCAATATTCCGTCTAGATGACCCTTCCAACATCAACTTCTGGCTAGTCAGGGCTATAACCAGCAGCTGACCATGCTGTGATGATACCTCTCGATTGTTTAATCCATAATTTTGTGTGAGGGTCTCCATGGACTTCCTGGTTCCAGTTTCAGTTCTACATGAAAAGTGTGCTTGGCTCCCGCAGCTCTCAGAAACGTGAGGTGAACTGGAGTATCTTGGTCAGAGGTAGCTGGGAATTTCTACGGTGTGGCATCAGTTATTTTCTACAGAGATCCTCAACTTCTGAAATGAAGCGAAGAGCCCCAGTTTCATATAGGGCTAACAAGAGAGACTGTCAATCAGAAACTTAAGCCAGGAGAGTGACTCTAATGTGGAATTACCATCATTTCTGTTTAACAGCAGGGCACCAGCCTCTTTCCTTGATCACTTGCTTTTCTGTGCCTTTCCTTTTCTATACCTTTCCTCCTCAAATCTGCCTTTAGGCCAACTGGGAAATTGATGCTTTATCTGCTCTGTGAGAATCTCTGAATCACAGCTTTCCCACTTGAAACTCTCCCTCTCTAATTCAGTAAAGCAGCTGACCCATGTTTAATATCTGAGATTTGTTGTAATCTTGCTGACTGAAGTGGACTTCAGCATTGGGGTTTCTTGCTTTGACATAGTTGGGTCCTCATTCTCAGCTCCAAGCACAGTATGGACTGTTCGCAACCTCACCACTTGCTGTTCATGATCCCTTTCCCAGGCCTTTGCCTTCTCAAGAGTCTTGTCATATCTATTGTGCCATTAAAAAGCTTTTATTAAAGCACTTCTATTAAATGTCCTGTCTATCTGCCAGTCTTCCTGGAAGCCTCTTTCTTCCCATGATCTCCTCCTCCGCAGCCTCTGAATAATTCTTCTGTTTCTCTTTGCCTTCACTTAGGATGAAAAAATTTTGTAAGACACCTCCAAACAATCAAACCAGCATCAGTTACCTAGTAAAATGGAAAATCAAAACTGAACCATCCCACTTTTCTGCACTCCCAGCTCTCTCCTGCCAGCAGGCGTGTTAATGGTATTTCGGTATCAATTGATTCAAGAACCAAACGGAAATAAGGTCTATATCCTGGGTGCAGATGTAGCCGCAGCATTTAGAGAGTACTACCTGGAGGTGGAGCTCTAGGAAGAGCTGGGGCTCAGTGAGGCTTCCTTCACCACCTCCTTCCCTCCACCACCTTCTCTAAGGCAACTCCGTCAAGGGGAGGGCCAGCAGGACTGCAGTTCTGACCAACCAGTTAAACTGAATGAAGAGGTCTGCTCCCACCCACTTGTGCATTTTAAATCACAGTGGCAGATCTCGGTGCTTCCCTATGCTTTATGAATGCTGCAAATGAAATTCTGGAGGGGTTTAAGGAGTCATCAAGCAATACAGAATAAAAACTAGAAAAGGACATCAGCTGTGTAGGCCAAACAGCTGTAAAGTGCTGTGGGAAGACATGGCTGTGTATAAATTTGGCATACTAGAATTTAGTAAGGGGTATTTGTCGTGGTTATTTTGAATAACAAAGGCGTTATGACACGGCAGGACCCAGACTCATTGCTGAATATTGCATTCTGCAGACTCCCTGCTTTAAAATAAGCCTGTTGTACACAGGTGTTTTACAAACTGTCACCAAGCTACCTCAGAGATGAGCTGTGACACTAAGGATTTGACAGCTTGCAGTCATTCAAAATACTGTTAACTAAAGACTGTCAAAACATCAGAGAAGAGTTTTGCAGAAGTGTAGGGATACTCTCAAAACAGCTTTTTACACCTCTGTAAGACAGGATGGAAAGGCAGGTTCCAGTAGAAATGCATGTGTTCTGCCTGCCTGGAATCATCCTCCATATTTCCAAACAAATCAAATGAACTGCAAATGTTAGTGGTGTTAAAGGCATTAATAATACTACATCCATTTTTAAATTGCTATCTACTCTGTTTCAGTTTGTGATAGAATCACAGAATGGTTTGGGTCAGAAGGGACCTTAAAGATCATCCAGTTCCAATCCCCCTGCCACAGGCAGGGACACCTTCCACTAGACCAGGTTGCTCAAAGCCTCCTCCAACCTGGTTTTGAACACTTCCAGGGATGGCAGCCACAACTTCTGTGGGCAAGCTGTGCCAGAGCCTCACTAACCTCATTGTATTGAGTCTAAGCAAATGCAGTTCTTACTTTTCAGTGTACACAAAAAAAAAGACTCAAAACAACAGAAGCAGGCTGGCCAATTGGGATTTCATCTTTATAATTCAACACAAAGGTCAGTGTTTCCACATTCTTGCTTTCTTCTACTTGCCTGAATACAGTGATGAATAACCCAGGCTCAGGTGCATACCAGGTGGTACACGCCTCTCACTGTAGTAAAGAAAGATGGCACACAGCTGTAATGAAGAACTCAGATTTTGCAAAAGGGAAGTATCAATAAAATATAAATTAAAACAAAGGACCAAATAACTCCTGTATCTGATTGTCATCTTCTGCGATGACACTGATTATATTTTGTACTTTAGATCTATTATTTCTGAATTAGCAGTATGACAAAGCTCCTTGGGAAAAAACTTTGAAATCTATTTTTCTGGAGATAAATTTCCTTGATTTTTTTTGTTTGGTTTTTTTTTTGAGGTTTACCCTTTCTTTAGGCAGACATTTGAGACGATTGTCAGAAAGGCCAAACAGTTCACTGTGATAGAGGTATCCACAGATCTGCACTGGAATTTCATGCAAGTTTGTTTTGTAAAGTCTGAGCTAACAAAGGGACTGCAGCTTGCTGCAAACTACAAGAGAGGGGATTGTTACTTAAATCTAAGCTCAGAGGAGGTTTCATCTCCCCCAGTTCTTTGCATATATCTTGTATGTGATTCTGATCCAAGTAGGGGACCTTCATAGGCCTCAGGCAATTTATGGGGATGCTTACAATCAGATTCTTCCCCATATGCGGTTCTTACAGATATTTTAGACTCAAGACCCCTGGCAAGACTGTTCACAGTTACTTGTTGGATAAATCATTATGAAAAATATCCTGTGTGTGACACGTGTGGGAGAAAGAGCTTCATTCTCTGGCACTTTATTCACTGGTATTTCTTGTGTATCATACTCAAAACCAACAGAATCAGCTTTGGGCCAGTGACTGCCCCCTGCACTGGCCTCTTGGCTCTACTGAGACTCAGCCATCTCTGCTCTGATTCGGAAAAAAACTCCAGGAACAAACTCGCCAACAGAGTTTCAAGTTGACAAGCAGGTAAGTCTTTATTGCAGCGCCGGGAGACACGGGGGATAACGCCTCCTAACGTGTGTCCCCGTATACAGGCCATCCTTATATATGAGGCTACACATGAATTCCATCATTTTCCAGAAAGTTTCCCACATGCATACAAAAATGTGATGGTGGTCTTTAAGAGTCGTTTACTTCTCCCAACAATCTTCATGACTTCTGGCAGTCTTTGAAGCACCAGCTTGATTAACATTACAGACAGAGCAATCATCCTGTCCTACTTACCAGTTAGTTTAACTGCTCCCACCCTGCACATCTGCTAGTCCCGGGATACTCCCCAGCAGATGTTTACACCAGCCTAATGGTTCATTAACACCACAAAGGTAAAAATCATCCTGTCCCTCTACTTATCAGTTAGTTTAACTGTGCCCATCCTGGACATCTGCTAGTCCCAGATACTCCCCACCCCCAGGTCCAGTTTTTCTATTCTGCTTTTCATACACTTTTTGTACTAAGGACCTGAAACTATGTCAACTACCTTGAAGCACCGCAGTTATTTTCCATTACAAAGCCATCACACTTAACGTTACTTAGCACTGACTACATTGTGCTTTTGTGCCTCCTTGTCTCAGCTCTGTATTTCTAATTCCAGAAGATTAAAAAAGGAGAAAAATCACCAGTACTCAAGGACCTTCCTGTGCTAAGAAAGTACTGACAGAATTCAGCATTTAGGGACCGGTTCTAGTCTCAAGCTGTGCCCCTGCAAGAAGCTGTCTGTGTTCTTTGATCAAATCCCACAGTACATACAGCAGGACCGCATCTTTGAATCCCCCCATGTGAGGAATGTAGGAAATGTCCTCAAAGACTCAGGTCAGACTCAACAGCAAAGCAGAAATCTATTAAACGTTTTCGCAAAATCAGGTGCCCCGGTGAGGAGAGCTCACCCTGCTTACAGCCTTCTTTTAATCCCTACTCCCAACCGCGAAGTCCCTCCCTTGTTTCCCTGCTGGTTAGGTACTCGGAGGTTTACAGGCTTACCCAAAGCGCCTGAGTTACTCACATGAAGTCCTGCCCCTGTTTACATTTCCCACTACTGTAGTTCAGGCAACTCTTCTTATTTACACGTGTGCTCTTATGGTATAGTGGCCTAACCTCCCGTCTATGTCCCAGCTTCCCCTTTGTCTTTTATTAGCACGCAAGCTATACTTAAAAGGCTGTAAAAGCAACACAGGGGTATTTCTTACAAGTGCATTCCTAAGTGTTCCAACAGCCAAATTCAGAGGGTGAACTTGTGAAGTCAAGGGAGCTGAACAAAGCAATCTCCTTGCATCTTGAAGGGTCGTATTTACAAACGCTGACATATTTCTTCAGCTATGCTGACGGTAAAACTGGGAGAGTCCGGCTGGAGGAAGGTGGCACCTTCTTCTGTGACTGGTTTCTGAGCCAGAGAGATACCAGTGAGTCTGGTATTTGACAATCCTCAGAGTTGTACTGTTGCCAGTAGCAAAAGAGAAAGAGGTGGGAAGGGAGAGATCCGATGTCTGGATAGAAGAAATCTGTCAGCTGGCATTTAAGGAATGATAGTAGAAAACAGAGGTCAAGAGGCAGCTGACAGTCATCTCCTACTCAATGCCCTTTTCTATGCTGCTGTAGCCATTCTGGTAGGACACCACGTTTTCAGAGATGAATGGTTTCCAGGTGCCACCAAGATGCAAAGGCAGAACTGAGCAACCGCCATGGGGGGAGACCCATGCTGGGCTTCCCAGTCCAATTCAGATGTTGCACAAGGGTATTTTCTTCCTTACTGGCTCCAAGTTCAGTACTTGGGAGTGAGCCCCACATGCTGTGGGACAGGAGAGTGTGCAGTCCTAGCTTACTCACTGCTGTGTACAAGGGCAGTAGTGAAGTCACTAGAAGGATTAATTTGGTGGAAAGGCCCAGCACAGACACTTTTGAAGTAACTGCTAATCCATGCAACCACGGAAACTCTTGCAAAGGCTCCTTGGAGCCTGAGGGCAGACGGCTGAGTAAATACTCTGGGGGTGAGTTGATGAAGCTCCCCTCCATGCAGGGCCCGGGCACCACGCATGCGGCCACTCCACAGTGGGGAGGGGAAGGGTGCCGATGGGGCGTCATGCCAGGGCCATGGGCTGAGTCTGGCTGCCTTTGCCAGCTCCCTCCTGGAGGGCCTCCACACCCTCCTTGGAAACAGGCTTCATTACCAACCATTGTTAAGGCTGGGGCTGCCTGGCTCGCCCGCGGGCTGGTCACCTTGGGCTGGCGCAGGGAGAGGGCGCTGGTGTGAATCGCTCAGGTAGGCCTGCGTAGGTCGGGGCTCGCCGCTTTACAGGGAGCAAAGGTCTTGCCTGTATGAATACTAATTCTGTTAGCTCAGATTCCTTGGGATAGCCTCAGAAACACATCCACAAATCCACATTTTTTCCCGATTCTTTTCTTGTCTGTTTGGATCTGTTATTCATGTGCTGCATACCAGCAGTTGTAACCCTTTTCAGACCAAGCCCAGTTTTATTGTTATGCAAAGCCCAGCACAACAGCGCTTGGGTCTGTGGTGATGTTGCTAGGCTGCAATAACGATGCAGTAACGCTTTGTTTTGTTTTCCAGCAGGTCATGTCAGTTTGCCCAGATCTTCACCAGCACTATGTGCAGGTCTGCCAAAACTTGGGCCAACCTGAAAACCCTTTCATTGCTCATGTGCTTCAAGAAGCTGGTAAAAATGATGAAATGTAAGGAAATAACGAACAGTGTGTTTCAGATGCTTCTGAAAGTCTTAAGATCGCAGGACAAGGAGTTGAACAGTGAGAAAGTTCGTGCAGTTTCAGGCTGAAACACAAATCATATTTAGCATTTACTGCTGAAGTTCTGGTTTGACTCATCTTGACATCGTCTTGGCAGAAGTTTGTAGCTATATATTCTTTCTGGGCAGCTTTACAAGCAGTGAAATCAAAAAGTGAAAAATGTACAGGATGGTGCCTTTGTGTCCCTTAAAGAAGCCAAACCCAGTGTCTAGTCATTCTAGCTCACTTCCTTTTGTCTCACTCCTGTTTAAAAAGCTTCAGCTGCATAGTTAGCTTCCAGCTGGTAATGCTTCCCCAAAATGTCTCTGAATCCTGCCAAGTTGTTAACTACCCAAATTCTCTCTCATGATGTGTCTAGGTAGGGCTTCCTCCCATGGATGCTCCTAGGATCAAAGTTAATTATCCTTTGTAGAGAAAACCTCAGAAAACACAGCGTGGTGAAATGGGTTGTGTTAGGTTTTGATCCTGAGGGCAGGATAGGGTAAATAAAGGAAAAGGAACAAGTAAATAGGATATAATGAGGTAATTTCCAGGATAGTCTGTATTTCCATCTGCCTTCCCCTCATCTTGCTTCTTCCTGCTTTTTGTGCATGTGTGCTAAGCAGCTGTGCAGTGTCTTCAGATTATCAGAAAGGACAAAGCTGAAGTACAGCTTGAATCACATTGTCTGCCATGGCATTACCAAAGGTTGTGGCAGCAGCTAACTGCATGAAACACATCAGCGAGGGCAAGCCTGGATACACTTCTTATCTGGAGAGAATTCATTTATCTGTAGCATTTTACTTCTCCCCATGTGCTTAAATTTTTATGTTTCAGCATATGGACAAAAGGGTTCACATTAAACATAGCTGGAAATAGTCATCTAGTGCCTGTGCAGAGAGTTACAGATGACAATCTTCAGGTTCTTGTCTCTGTCTTACGTACGGCTGCATTTGTCACAGGTAAGCTTTTTTAATATGTGTTTAAACGCTGCTGTGCTAATATAAGAAAACTTAAGCAGTCTGGGTTGTGGGGTTTGGTTTGTTTTGTTTTTTTTTTTCAGAGATCAGTTCATTATAGGTATGCGTCTGTCACATTCTTCATTCATCTTTTTTAGGTTTGGATCTTGGGTATAATGTATTGACTGATGCTGGAGCAAAGACCATGGCAACATTCCTCCAGGTGCCAAAGTGATGTTTCTCTTTCATCAACGTGTAATTTATTTGGCTATGATAATATTTGTATGTGCTGTACTGGAGACAAGAATGCAATTGTTTGGCAAAATTCCAGTACTTTTTACTTTCACATCCAAATCCATCCTACTAAATCTTAGTATTCTCTGGGGAGATTTTTCATTTCTAGTAGAACACCCTTGGACATCTGGCTAAGGTGTCCAAAAGAATGAACAGTTTGAATAAATTGTGGGGCTTTTAGGCTTGTCAGTTTAACAAAGGAGGTAATGGAAGTGTCCAATGTCCCAGGGCCTTTGTTTTAGATACTTATCACCTCTGTTAGCCTTTTTGTAGGTCTAAGCAGAAGAAACTTTAATGCTGCCTTTTTGTCATTATAAGCCCTGGAATAGAGATGGAAAATAGTGAGTTGCCACTTGGTGCCTGTGTTCCTGGAGCTCAGGGTGTGCCATGAAGTTTGCAAAGTGCCTGAAGGTCTGCATTTGAGCTTGATCACCTGCCTCGTTTGGTCATGCTGAGCACTTGGGTTCGCAAGTGGTTTCTGTAAGCACCCTGAGGACATGTTTTTACATGCTACATGTTTTTCTGCCTTTTCCTCATCATCTGACACACTGGCATTCTTTAACTACTTCTCCAAATCAGGGCTGTCTGAAATGCAGTAAAGGTCAGAGGTTTAAAATACATGTGTGATGCATATCCTCTTTGAAAACTGCAGGCTTGCTCTGAAAAGGAGTCTGATTGCTTTCTGATTTGTTTGTTCCTCAGGAAACTCCTCTCTGAGGTACCTGAACCTGATGTTTAATAACATTGGCACAAGTGGAGCAGAGCTGATAGCAAAAGCGCTCCATGTGAGTGTTTGCCTGGCAGATTTAAACAATGGTATCTCGTTTGATATTTTTGCTTTTGAGGAACTGTACTAGCTGTCCTACCAACATCAGAGCTGACTGAAGGGGGCCCTCTGTCTTCGGTCCATTCAGTGGTTTCCTGTATCACAGGGACTGCTTGTTTTCTCAAGGCAAACTTCAGAAATCAGGTTTCACACAAGAGAAGGTTGCACTGTGCTGCCATTAACACTTAATTATCAGAACTATCACAGCTGGATTTTTCCAAGTGGAAAATGCTCTGCTGGGGGATATACAGTGTCACCATTTTCTTCTTTTAAAAGAAAACGAAAGGAATTGCATTATTTTTACCTGTACCTCGATGTCAGTACTTGTGTGGACTCAAGATGTCTCAGACAGGTTTTCAGAACTTTGCCTTGCAGCAGCATCATAAGAACAAGTTTGTTATTTTTAATGTGGCTCCCCAAGGAAATGAGGCTTGTGTGCATGATTTGTAGTGTTTGCGAAATGAGACTCACGTGAGCTCTTTTCTTCCTCCTTCACAGTCTTTGAACTCTGAACCAATTTCAGCTAAATTTGACAGGCCACCAAAGCACTAAGGTTGTACAGTAGATCATACTGGGCTTGCAAGCAGCCCCCAAAGCTCTTTGTACAGCCCCAACAGCATTTGCTGGGTTTGCTGAGCAGGCAGATGGCAGGACCCCTGGGCTGCATGGGTTCCTGCTGCCACTGGGCCAGGCAGGAGGTGTGGGGGTGAAGGTAGGCTGTTATTGAGGGAGGGAGAGGGAAGGAGATAGCTGGAGTGAGGTACTGCATCAGGTGAAGGTGTGCTGGGGACATGTGGAAGACATCAAACTGTATGAAACTGGGCTTCATTAGTTCTGCTGCTCACAGAACTACTTGGTTTGTAATCTCTTCCTCAACTGTAATCTCTGGTAATAAGCGATTATAAAGAAAATAAAAATACAAAGCTACTCTGCATTGCATTTTGGGCTTTAACAGTTGAATAGCTGCTTTATATCCATTGAAATTCTATGGAGGGTGGGGGGAAAGATGCTGACTTTTGTAGACCTCTGATCAGAACTTTATATTGCCAGTGATGCCTCCAGTTCTGCAAAGACTTACACATTGGTTTGACTCTACTAAGTAGTCCTGCTGAAGGTGACCGGTTTCACTGAGCTTTGATTGGTCATGTGCTTTAAAAGACCATGAAAAATAAAGCAAATTATATTCTTGCTTAAACCACTTACTAGATTTAAATCAGTTTTGATATAATTTACATTTCAGATGCCAATTCAGACAGATTTATTTAGGCAGGATTATTTTTGTGAGTGTGAGATTTGTCAACTTGGGAGAAACAAAAGTTCTCAAATATTCGAGTTTTGCTTCCAGACTCTCATGCATTTCATTCCACTGAGGAAAGCCTGAGCCAACAGCTTAGTCAGTGTTATCACTTAAACACGATTGTTCTGGAGGGTTGTTTTGTCTTTGTGTGACAACCAGCAGGATTCACAGGGGAAAGGACAGTGTTGTTTTTCAGGCCACTTCAGAGGCATTGATTTTTTTCTGTCCCCTTTTTTGATTTTGTTTAGGGGAATGAAACTCTTCTGCATATGAGAATGACTGGGAACAAAATAGGAGAGAAAAGTGGGATGTTCTTTGCTTCAATGCTACAAATTAATCCAACCTTGGAGAAGTTGGATCTTGGAGACTGTGATATAGTGAGTAACCCAGTGAAATTATCAGCAATGACCTAAGTCTTTCAAGGATATTACAAAGGTTCTGCACTACTTAACTAGGGGGAAATGCCATCTGTTGACATTGATTTTACATTTTGTGGTAGCAATATATAATATTGCAGTGTGTACTTGGACAAGCATGTTGCATAGACCTGAGAAGTCACAACTGATGATATATATGAGTCATCACTATGTCCCTGGGAATTCAACTGCTTGGCTTTCACATTTTCTGAGATTTGTTTTCTGCTGTTAATTTTTGGTGTGCTACCTAAGTCCTGTGTAAGTCATGTTGAAGGAAGGACTTCTTATTCCCTGGAGGCTCTTTTCCTCCTGAAGTGTGCAGTGCACCTGAAAGTAGCCCAGGGCCATATCTCTGTTGCTCCTGTCAGGCTTCAGTCCCTAGAGGACATAAGCACAACAGTGCTGAATTGAGCAGAAAAGAAAGGCTGCTCGAAATGAGCCTGATTTGATCCTAGATAACCAGGTGTCTGCTGGAGTCGGTGAGCAGGGAGATTGTGAGGATAGGAATGCCTCCATGGACTAAGCAGGGTGCTTCCTACTCTAGCTAGTAAAAAGCCTGTGAATAGCTTTTAAAAACCTATATTCGTTTCCTGGAATTACAGAATTTGCTCCTAAACTAGAAGGGGGAATACCTCAGGAAGTGTGCAGGGTGTTACGAATACATAACAAGGGAAGTGTAGGATTTATTTGAAAGCTTAATGTGTTTATCCTTGGTAGGGAGTTCACAGAGAGCTGGTTTAGAATGAAGTGGCTCTGGGGGCAGACCAGCCTAACTGGAAAGTAGCACAAATATAAATTAGTGAGCAAAATAGGAGGAAATAAAAAAAATCCAGATTGGCCTGTATTCTAGACTGTATTCTTTGTACCACATTATTCACATTTAGTGTGAATTTACCTAGTAGATAAATGTTAGCTAAGACTTTCATCATAGACTTCAGGGAAAACACACAAGCTGGTTTTGCTTCATAAATTAGGAAAACCAAAATAGAGGATCAATTAAATGGATGAGTATCTTTGAGATGCATTATTCTTGCTTTTTATTTTCTGAGTTGCCAACTTTCCCAGTCATTTGTACTACTTAGACAAATTCCACTCTATTATTCCATGGGGAGTTGGCACTGGTATTATCAGAAAATACATGCGTGTGTCTGTAAGCACTTGCCAACTGCTTTTGTATCTCTCCAGAGTGCATGGAGGCAGAAATAACAGTATTTCTAATCTGAGCCCATTTGATGTTTTTGATCTTCTGACAATCAATTCTAGGAAGTTGTGATAATTTGTTAGCTTGATTTATGCATCAAATAGGTTTTCTCTAAAGAGTTTATTTTTCTTTCCAGGGTGTGCAGTGTCTAATAGCAACAGCATCAGCCCTGAATCAGAACAAATCAGTCAAAGCAATAAACCTAAATCATCCTTTATTGTTCAGCCAAGAGGTATGTAAGCAGACTGTAGTTTTAGCTCAGAGGGAAGCATATTAAAGTCAGTACTGATGCCTTTATGTACGTCTGAACTGCATGGCTCTCTGTGTTTCCTTACAAAGTGAAGTAAATTGTTGCAGAAATACTCTTTCTCTCTTTCTGTGCCAAGTTTTGTGCAATCACAGGCTGCCCCGATTTAACTAGAAGGTAAATTGTTTAAAAATTGCTTTCTTGGTGCATACACTTTTGTTAAATCATGAGCTAATGGAAAGGGCTTGATATTGGAGAACCAAGTATTCCTTCTGCTGTTACAGTGTGGAGAGTTTTATGCATAGTTCAGCAAATGGGGAGAAATGGTGTTCAGCAGGAAATGAGAGGAAGAACAAAAGACTGCTGTTTATCTCAGCAGTGCAATACCCGCAGCTTAAAGAAGAAAGGCACACTTTAACAATATGCCATAATCACTGGAATGTGTGGTTGTTTTAGTGTGTGAACTTGAAGCACAAATTTAACAAATGAATGCATCTCATCAATGTAAAACCTACTATGCATTTGTTACCCAAAAAGAAGACACAATCCTTCCGGACCCATCAAGCACTGAAAAGAGAATCTCCAAGTACAGATGCACAGAGCTGTGGAGCTTTTGCTTCCAGGCATGCAGCTTCTGCTCCTTGCTTGTCCTGCTGAAGTCTTGGCTGTAAAGCTGCTTGTAGTGGTGGTTTCACCAGACTGGTAGCAATTCTTGGGTATCTGTGCTATGGACAGTATTTTCCTGCTGGCAGGATAATGAAATGAAACTGTTGTGAAGGCCAGATCTTCCTAAGTTCCAACATTTTAAGCAGATTTTAGTTGTTTCTTTTCTACTAAGACAGGGCTTGATCTACCTAACCCCAGTTTTAGAAGTCAATTTAAAATCCTGCTACTGAAACATACTGGTAAGAGCACGGTCTATACCTGTTAGATTCTACTAGCCACTGTTCCTACCTTCAACTCTGTAATGTTCTGAGGCCTCTAGGTTGTTCCCTCATTTTTGGCTCTAAGTATTCACTCATTATTTTCTTACCAAAACACAACTACTTGAAAATAAACTGAGTCTTACAATGACAGAAGGTATTTTTCCTGTAGCAATCCTATTTCTTTTGATGAAATAATTGATTAGCATCATAACAAAGTACTTTTAATGTTAATGAGGACTGACTCAAACATTCAGTTTGGAAGGAAAGGAAGGAAGGAAAACTAATTAGACATAATGATTCAAACACTGATGCTTTTGGTATCTGCAGGGATGTACATAGCACTATCGATGTGCATATATCTTTCCGGTATTTTATTTATTTATTTCAGTATAATCCTAATATATTTTTTCCCAGCTATTTTTAATACAATACACAACAGTAGAACACTGCTGATGACCAAACTGACAGGCTGAGAGAGTTGGGCTTGTTCAGAGAATAGGTATCTCGGGAGAGACCTTAGAACAACCTTCCAGTTCCTAAAGGGGGCTTACAAAGAAATCTGGAGAAGGGCTTTTTACAAGGCACATGGGAATATGACAATATGGGGGCTAGTTTTAAGCTGACAGAGGGGAGATTTAGATATTTGGAAGTTCTTCACTACAAGAGTGTTGTGTCACCAGCACAGGGTGCCCAGAGAAGCTGTGGCTGCCCCATCCCTGGCAGTGTTCAAGGCCAGGTTGGACAGGGCTTGGAAAAACTTGTTGTAGTGGAAGGCGTCTCTGCCCATGGGAGGGGGGATGGAACTGGATGAGCTTTAAGGTCTCCTCCAACCCAAACCATTCTATGATTCTATGAAATCTTTCTGGTAGTTGTGAATCTCCCTTGTACTGAAACAAGACTGTATTTTTTCTTAAAGTACGTCTTAATAAAACTCACTGTATGTTCTTAGGAAGAGACCACAGTTCATCTAGCTCTGATGCTGAAAAATAACTCTTCTCTTGTGGAACTACACTTGTGCAAGCATGAAATGAAAAACTTTGGTGTGGAGAGACTGTGTGAGGCTTTGTATGAAAACTCTAGCCTGAGATACCTTGATCTTGCCCGGTAAAAGTTATTAAGTGACACAGCCCTGACTAACATTAGAAACTCATTTTCTTATCACCTTTTTAAGAAAAATGTGTGCATTTCTCTCTTTCAGTAATAAAATAACCAGTGAGGGTGTAAAATTTCTGGGAAAACTACTAAAATGGAACCAAACCCTGCAAATCCTAGATCTTAATGCAAACCGACTAGAAGATGATGGAGCCATCTACCTGAGTGAGGCCTTGGCTTTGTACAACAGGACTCTTCAGGTGTTAGTATTTACACAACTTCCCCAGAATCTGCAGGTGTAAGGAACTTGGGCTTTGCAGTGTCTGAGCTGACATCAAAACTGTGTGCTTTGATGTTGATCAAAATGGAAAAGTCAGGAAGTTCTAAAGTTTTTGGTCCATTTTTCCTTCTCGGGATGAAAAAAACGTGATGGATTGGATAGGATTCTTTTGCTAAGTATAGGTTTTTCCTCCTATGAGAGATGCCCTGGGACCTGTTCTGCAAATGAACCACAGGTCCTCTTAAAGCTCTGCAGCTGGAGGCCAGGCAGGAGATACTAATGCATTTTGTGCAGCACAAGAGGCCTGTGTTTGGTAACTGAGTAAGCTAAAGGAGTAAAACACAAGGCCAAGACATGCTGTTCAGCCCCACATGCTAACGCCTTGTGTTTACTTTCCTGCTGTGCCAGGACTACTCTCTACTCACTTTATCTTTCCTTGTACTTGCTTTTTTCATATCTTGTATCCACTGCTGTGTGGCCTGACATACACCTTTTCTTCTATTCAGGGTTTTTTGGGGCTGATGTTTGGCTCAGCTTTGTAGTTCATCTTACATGTGATTCACAGCTTTTACAGTCATTCTGAGGGATGTGTGGCTGGGGGAGGCAATTAGATCTTGTTAGCTCTTTTTGCATCTTTAAAGCATAGGTCCCTGTGGTGCACAACCAAAACCAAGCAGGAGCTGTACAGCCTTCAGAATTTTAAGATAATAAGACTCCACGCAGGAATAAGGCACTATATTTGTTGATTCTTATCTTCCATTCTTAAGAAAATCCTCTAAGTTAGCTTCCGAGTGAACCCAAAAGAGCTGTAATCTCTCCATCAGGGTGTATTTTGTAGCCGGCATTAAACCATGCATTGGCAGGATGTAAAAGCTGATCAAAGGCGTTACCTGAAGCCATTAGTTTTAAGTAGCAGACTGAGGAGGCGGTGGCTGCTAGGTGCCTCTGAAAGCCTTCCAGGTTCACTCATATAAAAATAACTGCCACTGCACAAAGATCAAAGCTTAGCCTGGAGTAATGCCAGGGCTTGGGCTTCAAGGCAGAGGAGAGATGAGACATGGCCACCATGCAGTCAGTCACTGAGGCTGAAGAACTAACTACTGAACAATCTGTTCTGGTTGCACCAGTCATGGAAATGACTTGAGAAATGGTACAAGTCCATAGTCCAAACTGCCTTTAGCAACATGGGAAAGATTCTGTAGTAGGACTGGCCTTGATACAAATAAATATTTATTAATAACGTGTAGAATTTCAATATACTTGTCAGATATATAATAATATGTAATAATATAAAATAACAATAAATCATAGTTAAACTCTTAGTTTTGACCAAGAGATGGGAATTCTGTGGTTTAGCACACATTTGCACAACTGTTTTCTCTGGTTTAGGTTGTCAGTAGTAAGCAACAATATAAGTGGCAAAGGACTTGTAGCTCTTTCAGAGGCAATGAAAACAAACACAGAACTTTCCTGTATTTACATCTGGGGGAACAAATTTGATGAAGCCACCTGTATGGTAAGTGCTTGCTTCTGAGCTCCTCTAAGAGGGTTGGAGTTTGTTTGTCCTAGTTCATGTTTACAGTCATTGCGAAAACTACAGCCATTAGTGAGCAAGATACTTGATTAACTATGGGGTTTATTTAAATAATTATAATATGGTGGTGTTGTAATGAGACTCACTGGACATCAGCATACTGAAATAATCAAGTACTCTCCTGTTGTGTGTTATCTTCTAAAGACTTCACTGCAATCAAAGGAGAATATTCTGTGTCTCATTCTTGGTTTTACTCATTTCAGGCATTTTCAGAATTCAGATGGGCCACCTGAAACTTAATTGCACAGACGTGGAGCCTTGCAGAGCTCTCCCATGGCCTGCAGAAGCATTACTACTGGACACCAAGTTATTGGGCCATGACAAAAAAGGCTGCTAATGCCAGTCTGGCAATTGCAGGTGTTTCAGAATACTTGTGAGTGAGGTAGCAGCTTGAAGCATTCGGTGTGCTTGAGCTTTTCCTGTCTGGTTTCTAGTAAACAAGATTGTACCAATATCAGACTTGCTGCATGTTGTTTCTTCAGGGTCTTTGGTCTGGAAAGAATCTAAACCTGCTCGAAATGGCATTAGAGATAAGATATTGAACCAGTGACTTTAAAATTCGTTGAGAAGCAACAGCCAATATATTAAGAGCCTATTAATACGAAAATGTGTTATTTCTGCTGCAATCATTTCTATTGCACACTATCTTCTTTGCCTTACCATAACTAGCTGTAGTTCCAGCATTCCTAGGTGAGAAATTTAGTAAAATGACATGCTCAGAGGAAAACATTTTCACCACAGCAGTGCATGAAGAGTGACATTAGGTATCAGTAATGGAGAGTAAACCAGTCACTGCCCAGAGGCATGTGAAGGGTTTAGACTGCTGCAGTGCAGAGGCATGAAGTGAACTCTCAGCAGCTGAACTACTCTGCTCTAGATGATCCTCTCAGACCAGGATTTTGATCAAATGCTTCTCATTTAGAAAAGATGCAGAGGCTGGATCAGAGCAGTTGCAGAACATCTGAGTGGAGTGTCCTGACCACCGGGCTGCTGCAGGTGAAGAGCTGTTGCCCTTCCTGGGCTGTGATCTCTGCAGTTGGGTTTCCATATAGCTGTGAGAGCCCATATGCAATGTTACTGCATCTCTGCAAGCTGGAGTACAGCCAGGCAGATCAAGCTGCCAAAACCTTACACCCAGGACTACTGCTGGGCAGCAACTTTACTCGACAGCAAATCAGATATACTGCAGAAGTAGATTCCTGCTGAAACAGGAAGGTTTGGGTAAATCTGTTTGTTGCTACTGTGTTCTACATACACTCTCCTTTTACTTAGTAATGGTGCTTTTAATCTCTTTTCAAGAATAACCTTTTTTTAAACCCAAGTTAAATTAACCTAATCATTAAGCCACTATAATGCTGGGACTTTAAAGCTGGTATTTTGATTAGCTTGCAACTTTTCCTTGTTCCTTGTACAACAAATTATAAACACCCACCAACCTTGGTGTCATTTCTTCCTGTCTCTTAAAAACTGATTAAGAAGTAGCGACGTGGCAAGCGTTCTGCACAAATAAGACAACATATGCACACAATGGTAGTTAAACATTGTTTAATGATTTGGGTACAGACTTTGTAGAATTTTGGGAACCACTCAGCTTGTTTCCTTCTTCCACCCACTGCTCATACCTGTAGCAGTCACTAGATCTGTGCTCCTTAACAGAAAAACTCAGCGTGTGGAACCTCAGAGGTTTGCTTAAAGGCTACTAGTGCATTTGTCTGTGTGTCTAAATGTGCCTGTTAGAAATTAGTATGAAGTAACAGAATAATCCACAAATATATGCACACACAGGCAAAAGACCTATGAGATTGAAGTGTGAGGGGGGAAAAAGATACATTAATTTCACCAGTGAGACCTAGCAGCAGTGATGTTCCAATTCTATATTACCACAGTGGTAGCGTAGACTCAGGGAGAGGTATGAATACCCCTTAGGAATCCGCAATGACCGAGGTGGTGCCGATAGCTGCTGTACGTGGTGTTGTTTGGTTGGGTTTTTTTCATTCCTCCCACCCCAATCACAAATGAGCCAGGCTCTTTTGCTCCAAAAAGCACTTAGTATCATAAGAGGACTTAAGAGGTAAATCCACAGAGCAGGTATGTTTGTTCCATGTACCTGTACAGGGTCCTCCTAACTTGTCTTGTTAAGCAGAAAGCCCACACATCACACTGAAAACCCTGTTCTAGAGAGAAGCTTAGAGTTTAACTGTGGTTAAACAGGAAAAACAGAGCAATGAGGACAAAAATTGAGGATGCAGTGAATGTGATTGTTTGAGAACAAGCTGCATGCTACAAAAATTTCTAAGTTTAAAAATAATTAGATAAGACTGTAGTATCAAAGTTGGTGTTTTCCTGAGCATTGCTGCGCTGGAGCTCTGCAGGTTATATTCCGATAAAGAGCGTACTTTCCATACTGAGACACTGATGATAGAATTTCCTGCCAAAAAGGCCGCTACAACATTCAGATCAAGGTAACTTTTTTCCACACATCTTTCTTTCTCTTGTATTTATACAAGTATTTGTACTGTCTCCAAACCATTGTTTAATAGCAAGATGTGTAAGAGCACTCTGCACTATGGACAATATCCATAGAACTAGCTCACATTACAGTTTACTTTGATACTCCTTTGCAAGAAAGGGCTGCAGAATAATTCCCACTGAATTTTGTATAAGCAGCTTTCTGCCCACTAAAATAATTATTTGTGCAAACCCTGTATTGCTTAGAGGCCTATGCCAGAGACATTTATTTACTGCTTTCCTTTCTGTGAAAACCAAACCTTGAAATTCTTGAAAGATGTCTCTTGTGTTCTTTGGACGTAGAGGATTTTTTACCATGTTATTCTGAGCGAGTTATTCTAGCAAGCATAATCCTGCTCAGTTAACCATGGCTTTAGCTTCCACAGCTTGTGGAAATGAAGCATTTTTGCCCTAGTTTAAAAGGAAGGAAAATGACTGACCCAGTAAGCCAGTGGTACAATGCAGGTCCCCCAGGTACTGCTGTGTGCTCTAGTCACCACACCACCTTATGTAAAATGAAACAATCTAGTAAAAATATGTTAAGATACAAATTCTGATAAAGAAATTCACTGAATATCTAGTTTAGAAAAAAAAGCACATCTTCAAAGCACTCTGCAACCCCCCCCGACACCTCAAAACAAGTGGAAAAAAATAATCTAAAAGTCACTATACTGGATTGTATTTAGAATAACGTTTAATTCAGTTTGAATTCTCTATTATGAGAATTTGGTGCATAATGTAACAAATCTTGCTGTGTTAGTGTGCTGCAGCGTATCCTTCCGACAGGGTATTTAACGGTGGTTATGTTAGACGGCTTCCCTCCTTTTGTGCTGCCCCCTGCAGTTACAAACAGGAGACACCAGGGGAGGGAAAATTACAAAACAAGTTTATTAAAGTCTAACATAAAACACTTCAGGCTAAATATGTACAACTCCCTCCCTTCCCAGGGGATTATAAAATTGAGAGTTGAGATATATACAAATAACAGAGGAAAAACTATATATACAGGAAAGATACTTTAAAAATAATTTAACCAAAAAAATCAGTTATTAGTCCTTATCTGAACTTAATTCTGCAAGGCTTATCAACAGCTTCTCCAAGATCACAGCCCTGAAATCCTTAACATGGGACTTGTCCATCCATACTTGGAACTGTTTTTTGAAACACATGATTTCAGAAAAGTTGTCACACTTTGTGGCCACAGATTAGCAAAGCTTTGGAAGTTCAGTGTTGTACAGAGAGCCATTCTCACACGCGTATTTCCAAACAGCCAATTTGGAGACTTCAAGATGCAGATAACATACTCAGGCAAAACTTGCACTGATTTCAGTACAAACTTTTCTCTAAATTACTGTTAGTTGAATTATTCCAATTTCCTCTTTCCTTTTGCAGGTAGGTCTCAAGGAGATGTCTGCCTAAAAAGATTCCATGCCTTCCCCCATTAATCCCTTACAGAAATTATCAATACTGTTGTAAACCTTGTGCCTCCAAAATTAACTCGAATCCTTAAGCCTAGGAATTAGATGTGCAGCTGATTTCCATGCATCATGTGCCTTGGCAAAAGGTACAGCACAGACCTGCTTCTTCAGGCCCAACCTGAACACACCTAGAGACAAATTTTATATATATATATATATTTAAAATCTATATTCTAGTAAATGAATACAGTTCATTGATGTCATACCTCAGTAGCTGAGATATCTTCATGAAAGAAGAGGCTAAAAATTAGGACTCTCAGATGGGGACTCAAGAGTGCAGGTCTTAAATTATTGCTCCAACACAAAACTACAAGCCCGTGTATTCTATTAAGAATGGTTAAAATTGCTGTCTTATAAAAAATAATGATTATCTACTTGTCTATAAAGAAAACTAAATGACTAATAAAGCAAGTGTTACTGTTACAAGTATCTAAACAAATCCTGTATAAATCTAAGCACTGTATTTTTTTAAAAAGTCTGAACTCTAAGAATACAGTAATAAGATATACTTTTAGAAATATAAAAACAGTCCAAACAAACATTGTTATGGAATGCATTTACTATGGAGGAATGTAAATATTAATATATTTTTCTTTTCCAGAACTAGTTCTCTCTTGTGGTTATTTATCCTGGATATCTTAATCTTCAGATAACTTTTCCTCAGATAACAGCAGCCTATCATTAGTTTATCTTCCAAATATGAATATTTGTTTAAATATGAAAGCTGTCAGTTGTATGGTGTTGTTCTTTTTCAGTATTTACGTGTATCCCAAGGCTTCTGCTCTTGCAGAGCAAAAGTAAAGAACCTTAGGACAAAGCTACACAGTTTGCTTTTTATACTGAGTCAAGATCCCGATTTTTGAGATTCTTCAGTTTCAGATGGCAAGGCTAAGGAATCCTTCAGGTGCTACATCAGCAACAGAAGCTAAAAAAGAAAAGGGGGAGGAAAACGGGAAATGCCAACAAACAGGAAAAAAAAATATCAGTGAGCTTCACCCATTGTCCTTTGCCAGCATTCTGAAGGACACTGGCTGTTCAGACATGATGTAGTGCAGATAAACAAAATAAAGGTCAGGCAGGTACAGCAGTAATTGGCTCCAGTGGACAGAACCAGAGATGCCTGCATTAAGAATGTTCCCAGTGAACATGGCTGTACTCTTTGCTATCCATGGTGGACTTTATCAGCAAATTTGCCATGTATA